ATGCCATCGCTTCCATGTTTTTCATTAATGATGAAGCTGATTTGCTTATATACGGGCCAGAATTGGCGTAATTAGCATGAGTAATGCCGATTGCTTCCATATTTATCCTTGATGATGGAGCTGATTTGTTTTTATATGGGCAGAAGCTTCCAGTCAATTCTAGAGGATTTGTTCGGTAGACGCCCCCTTTTAGTTTTGTAGTGTAATTAGACAGGGTGACATATATTTTGCTGCAAACGTCTGATAGTAAGGTAAGGTTTAGAGAGTAGATTATAGTAAAACCACATAAAGTAGTTGTCGTAACTGGCCCATAGTATCTTGTAAAATCGTTGAAGAATCAAATTGATATCACCTATACCGGTGGCGTCATGCGGTCCGTCTGGTCCAGGCCAAGTATACGTGTAATGGTATACTGTATGCTGTTTCAGGACGGTATAGGATTACTATAGAACTCCTATTACACGTGATCGGTCATACTGTCTATAGTACTGTAATCACTGACCCTGTAATCTACAGTATTGCAGAACCAGGAGAAGTGTCACTATCCGTCCGGCTGCTGGCCGCTCGAATGGCCGAGATTGATCTGGAAAGCAAAATGGAAAATGTATAAGTAGGGGGCCAGCTTTGGCCCATTTGAGTCAGATTTATTTCATAATCGTTCCGCTGACCTAAGCGATCCATAGTTTAAGCCAGTTGGCTATTTTCTGGTTATCTCTTTTACTGCAGCTTCCGTTTGCAATTCAGAGCAATGGCTTTCACATTCTATTTTCCAGTAGAATCTGCTTCCGATAGAAGAAATGTCTACTGTCAATCACCTTGGTGGTAAGTTGATAGAATGCTAATAAGACATTTGACGAATGCTTCTTCTATAGAAATAGGCATCAGTGTAGTTGTTGCACGTATACTCTATAAGTATCGATATGATTCATCGATAAAGAATCTGTAGTTGCAGATATATTCCTAGAAAATACGGTAGTATTATGAGCTATCTGCTGGTTTCCAATCGGATGACGCAATTAATATGCATAACCAAAAATGGATTTATGGTTATTTCTGTCATTTTATAGGGGTTCAGTAAGCCACAATTCTCCTCTTGCGCTCACTTCCGATCTATGGTCGAGTCCTTATGATGATTTCTTCGATAGCTTTCGTCGCCCTTATCGATACAGTATTGTTAAGCGCAAGTTAAATCCCGCCAAGCGACAACAATCAGATACTGAACAGTATGTTGAAGATGCGGAAGAATCCGCTGCTGCTGATGAGAAATCGGGTCATAAAGAAGGGTCTAGCCCTTCGAAGGAAACATCATACAAGGAGGAAAATAGCGCAAAAAAATCACAACCAGCTACAAGTCAAGATGACCAACAAACCAAAAAGGCACGCATCGAGGAAAGATTGCCATCGTCTAAGCGGAATGCTGGTAAAAAAAGTAAAAATAAAAAATCGGCAATCGCTAGTAAATATCGTGGGTTGGGACCTTGGTTACCAACGCTTGTGAGTAGACCATGGCACAACGTTGCTGATGTACTTGAAGATACGACCCCAGACAATATTTTTGGTTGGCATCATCAAAACGGTGAAAGCGATGACGAAAGTTCATCATCGGATAGCAATGCAAAAGATTTTGTAACATCTAAATCCTATATGGAAAGTAGAACTCAAAAGAATGGCAAAGATAAATACACCTATTATAAATCCTCTTTTAAGAAACAAAATGGTGAGAATAAAACAGTGATTACCCAAAGTATCGGCGATCAGAAACATACTCTTACAACAATCGTTGATGCTGAAGGTAACGAACGTCGAAGTGAAGACTATGTTAACGTTGAAGAAGATAAAATTGAAGAATTTAAAGAAAGTTTGAAAAGATTACAGAATAGTGGATTGAGCGACGCTGCACCTAAAAAGCTTTGCAATGAACCCGCCAACAGCGATGAAGCAGAAAGTAGAAACGAATCTGTTCAACAGTAATTAACAGTGACCTTGTTTTAAACGTAATGTGTCGCGTAGTAAAATTCTATATTCATTATTTTGTACTTGGCAATGACCAAGTGATTGTCAGTAATATTTTATTAGCATATTATGTTATTTATACGATAGCAGCATACTTACTATATGTTCTTGGTGACATTAAGTTAGATAGCTTCGTTTATCCTTCTATCATAATGAGGACATTTGTGCTTTGTGCTATGTATTCGTTAATACTTTCGTTCTGATAGTTTAGTAATATCCTGAATAATAGCACCAAATGCACTAACAATATCCAATCATGTAGAACCAGTTGCCATATAATATCCATGCGACTTCTAAATTAGCATTTTGCTGTTTATTTATTATTTGTATTACACGTTCTTGTGTTGATATACAAGAATAAAGAAATCTTTTATTTGAGCTACAATTGCAAAGCGCAATGATTGCTTCAGTAAGTTTAGACTCTTGTTTTGCTAGCTGATGAGATAAGGGAATACTCAATTTTTAGTAGTGTATTTAAACTATACAGTATAGCATCGTACTTATGCTAGGAAGTGTACATACGTTGAAAGGTAATGTAGATATAAATTTTCTTTTTAATGTATCACTTTGTGCGGATTATACTGCCGTTCATTTAAACGGGTAATTTACTAGTATTTATAACTCATTCATGTTCAGTGTTACTACGACAATGAGTGGGTATAAATGTAACTAGGAATATACTTTTCCCTACAATTTACTTTATTCTGCTATATAGCAGTATGTAGCTGTTTATACTTACATCTGCGTATTGTGTACCATAAGTCTTAAAATTAATGAAGCGCTAGTAATCCATCGATGTCGCTTTTAGATAAGTATTCGTCAGTGAGATTGATGCCATTCTATCCATTAAAAAACTGTGCCATGAAATTAGCGTCGTTGCTATACTCTTGGAAAAGACGATAATCCTCTGACAATTATACCTATGATAAACGAATTCTGCAAGACAACTGCTATGAGATCTAGGGATCACTGATCCAATTGATGGCGAAGTTCTGTAGAATTCATGAACTAATTTCATCAAGAAATTTTAAGTCAACTTTGAGTACGTGTATTTATACTATACTGTATAGTATTGCACTTATGTTAGGAAGCGTATATATTAAGATAATCTAGATATGAATTTTCTTTTTATGTGTCGCTTTGTGCAGATTATGTTCCCGTTCATTTAAACGGGTAATTTACTAGTATCTACAACTGATCCATTTCAATGTTTCTATAACAGCAGATGGGTATAAATATGTATAAATGTATACTGAGAATATGCTTTTCCCTGCACTTTATTTATTTCATTCTGCTATATGGCAGTAAGTAGCTGTTTGTACTTGTATTTGATGTATGAAATACTTAATCCTGAATTATGTCCCATAAGTCTTCAATTAATGGATTGCTAGTAATCCATAGATATCGCTTTTAGATAAATATTAGTTGGTGGGATTGAAGCAATCCTACCCATCAAAACTGAGCCATGAAACTAGTGTTATTACTATACCCTTGGAAAAGATCATAATCCTCAGACAATTATACCTATAATAAACGAGTTCTCCAAGACTACTGGAAATGAGATCTTGGTATTATTGATCCATTTGATGTTGATGTTCCGTAGAGTTAATGAGCTAATTTCATCAAGTAGTTCCACACTAATCACTTATTTTATAAATGCTCATGATGAACGAATTCTCCAAGACAACAGGAAATGACATCTTAATGTCATTGATCCATTTGATGGTGATATTTTGTAGAATGAATCAATTAATTTCAAGAAGAAATTCCTTACCAATTACTTATTCTACAAACGCTTATGATAAATGAATCCTTCAAGACAACCGGAAATGACATCTTGAGATCATTAATCCATTTGATAGTAATATTCCATAGAATGAATGAACTAACTCCATGAAGAAATCTCGTACTAATTACTTATTCTACATACGCTTATGATAAAACGAATCCTTCTAGACAACTGGGAATGACATTTTCATATCATTGATCTAATTCGTGGTGCTGCTTTAGAGAATTAATGCAGTAATTTTAGGAAGAAATTCCATACCAATTACTTATTCTACAAATGCCTATGATAAACGAATCCTTCAAGACAACTGAGAAAGATATTTTAATATCATTAATCCAATTCGTGGTGCTGTTCTAGAGAATTAATGAAGTAATTTCATGAAGAAATTCCGTGCTGATTACTTGTTCTACAAACGCTTATGATAAACGAATCCTTCAAGACAACTGAGAATGACATTTTAATATCATTAATCCAGTTCTTGGTGCTGTTCTAGAGAATTGATGAAGTAATTTCATGAAGAAATTCCGTATTAATTACTTGTTGTACAAACGCTTATGATAAACGAATGCTTCTAGACAACTGAGAATGACATTTTAATATCATTAATCCAGTTCTTGGTGCTGTTCTAGAGAATTCAGTGAAGTGATTTCATAAAGAAATTCCGTACTAATTACTTGTTCTACAAACGCTTATGATAAACGAATGCTACTAGACAACTGAGAATGACATTTTAATATCATTAATCCAGTTCTTGGTGCTGTTCTAGAGAATTAATGAAGTAATCTCATAAAGAAATTCCGTACTGATTACTTGTTCTACAAACGCTTATGATAAACGAATGCTTCTAGACAACTGAGAATGACATTTTAATATCATTAATCCAGTTCTTGGTGCTGTTCTAGAGAATTCAGTGAAGTAATTTTAGGAAGAAATTTCATACTAATTATTCTACCAAGGCTCAGCCTGCAGGCTTTTGCCATCCAATATTGTGTTGCATAATTGCATACTATAGAATAGTAGCTGTCCCATTTACTAGCGTTGAGATAAAGCTTTAGTAGAACACATCATCACGCAGTTTCCAATGCAGCAATCGTAGGGAATTACATAGGGCGTCTTTTGCGATCGGCTTGCAGTCAATTCAGCCACAGGTCAAAATAAACTGATTTTAGACTTGCGCTGAGTGAGTGTATGAGTTACTATGGAGTAAGTTTGATGAATCATTCTGGCCTACAGTATGAATACTCAAAACAGTCATAGCGGCCATACTAAAAGTTGATAAAACCTCGACGTTGCCTATAGAAATCGGTGGACGACCTCGATACTGTTGGACGTATGGCAGCCCCAAGTGATGCTATTTCAGCTGATGATTTATTGCAGCTAGTGGGCATTAGTGTACCTACAGTCTCCATTTAGAATTCAACTGGATGGGAAATCAGTTATAACCTTATATTGCTGCAGGCTGTAAGGAACTTTAGAGGCATACAACATGGGAGATAGAGTTCGTCTTATTGAATATTATTTATTGGGTTTCCATCTAGCAAATCATGAAGCAAATCAGAAGGAAATCGAAGTGATGGTGCGAGCAAGTGGAAACCAAGGTAACCACAACAGATTAAAATGAAACGAATGGGAATCGTTGTAAATGTGATTAATAATTGTGACATGGAAGAAATGTTGATTTCTTGACGATTGTCAGATAAAGCAGTTTGTGTATTGCATACGTTGAAATACTTGTAGACTGTAGTAAAGGTAGAGAGGATTGATATATCTGTTTTCAATCTTGTGAATGTGGCTGCAGCCATAGCTCATGTTGCAAGCGCAAGCGATGACTGATCACATAATAACGTGATAGCATCTACAACGCATTTTCACTGATGATTTTGCCATAGTATAACCTCAGTCTTGCTTTAAGATCATTAATGATATACGTTCTCGATTTGTTGTTGTTCTTCCATTAGCGTTGCTTAGCATGCTAGAGAAATTGAGTGATGGTGACTTTATCGGCGTGATAGATTTGGTTAACTCAGCCAATATACTAGGAGAAGATATTAGCAATGTCTTATTCTTGAAAGACGGTAATGACGTCAATTCTTGATCACTTATTTAATGCACTGTACTCGTAGTATGACAGCTCTTTTCTGTCATTTCGATTTCTTTAGTTACGGCACAAGATCTCATCCAAGATAAAGTATCCTCCTATTTATCGTCAACTGTAGATGAAGATCAGTCGAATGATAGGTAATATCATATCGTAGACACTCACTCAACGATGTTTTATTAGCCTTACCTGATTGCGTTTTCATTTCTCGGTTACATGAGAGCAGGCACTTAATGATCCTTGTAGCTGGAGTTGCTTATTTGCAATGCTTCATGCAATGCAACTGGACTGGCCCTAGAATAGCTTCTGACGCATTGCCTAGAGTACAAGAACTAAATTCATGTGCTCAAAAATTGCTCAGCTGCGATGAAGAAGTAAGCTTTCAACACGATACAAATCTTCAGGGCTTATTATACTATATATAGCTATTACTCATGGTCCAATTTTTCCTCTAGCCTCCTTACCCTTTGGCTGATTTCTACGGTCTCTTATGGATCTCTCGATTATTATTATTTAATTGCCGAAATCAATTGAGCTGCCTAAAGGTAGTAACAAACTATTGTATCTCCAAAGGACGTTCGAGTTCAGAGTTTAAAATAGATATTTAAGTAATCAATTGATTTCATAAATCCTTCCTCGACTTATACATGGGTTGTATTGCATCGTCCATCTATATTACTGTTTGAATAAAAGAGTACTTTTATCTGTAGCACGTATTTTTATGTTTTTCAATAGACAGCTCCAATATGGTGCATAAGATGTCTTTATGCCCATCAGCAATTATTTAACGATACCATTCCAGATCTCATGCAAGCGATTTTCGCACAGATTGACATAGGTAAGATCTTACGGTAACGGATTGATATTCTCGTAAAGACCTGATATACCAGATATAGCATCAAGGTTTACGTTGAATGTAAATGACATACGCGTATTTTCATTCCTAGTTACCGAAGGTCTTTTGCAAGAGGAAGATTTTCCATCGTAAGGAAGCTGTACTTGTTCGATTTAATATCATTTTATTTCCTTAAAATAGGTTCATTTTCAATACTTCATTGTATCTAACAAATATGGCTTATGTAATATCATGATTGATAGGCTACTTTGCTGTCAAGTCTACGTGGAATATTCTCACTTGAAACGGTGTTACCATGGTTATTTTGAAGCTAAGGTATATAACTAAAATAGATACTTTTAGATCTAGTACCACAAATCAGCAAGTTGAATTGATTAGACGATGTCTCACTCTTTTAGAAATTGCTTCGAAAAGCGGAGTCTGTGATCGGCTTAAAGTTGGAGCTAACAGGTATCAATTGCACGACAATTAATATTTCAGATTAATACCCTTATTAATGCGATAGCTAAAATCCTTTCGTCTTGGTATTAGGTCGATTAGGAAAACGTACTCGTTTTCAGGAAAAAGAGTTGGCTCAACTTACCGCTTCAATCAAGTACGAAACGTTGAAAGGTTTGTAACTGTATTTATAGGTAGAAAGTTATCATTGCTACGTAGCCTAGACCTGTATCATGCAGAATTTTTAAGTTAATGTGTCATTAGATTTTCGTTAGTCGTGTGCTTTCTTTTCTAAATAGATAATCGGATAAGCATAGAAGAATTTTCGAAACTGGAAACTGCTGCCCTCCCAAAAGTATGACAGTACTCGCTTTTTACAACTACTTGAGTACATAACGTTAAAGTAGCATTCAGAATGTTTTTCTAAGACTCTATAATTATTTGATCTGTTTTAATTCTGTAATTATATTTAGGATGTTGCATTGGATGATGATACTGTAATGCATCGCATTCAATTTTCGGACAATCAAGGAGACATTCCTGTTTTATTGCCTATAGAGGAAATAGTAATACTAGCCAATGGGTATGCTCGCATATCATAAGCGTTTTGCTTTGCTAGCATTGTGCTCAACTTATTATCATTGTACTATATCAATTAAAATAAGCAATGGCTCTACGAAGCACAGCGTAAAATTGATTTCCTTCCTGCACGAATAATTATAGAATTGAAGTCTTGCAAATAACGCCTGACCATGAATTACTGAAGGAAGAAATTTTGGCTTATATTAATGTAAGGTTTCTTTGCATCTGCATTTCAGAACTTTTAAATTTTCATAATTGAAAATATCTATAACTTGTGACTTTTTCTAGTGCAATCTTATGTATCCTCAAGACTGGTCTATACAAATGATGAGCCTCATGATTCGTTCCAAAATAGAAAGTAAACATCACCGCACTGTGGAAAGATCAATGATGCAATTGCAAGCTTTAGTTGATAATGTTAATGCTACACTACCACCTGTAAGGATACTTATCTTCGTTAATCAATTGTGTTACAGCAAAGGTTATGGATATGTTTTAAACTTTTACTTGTAAAATTATTCAGGTTGCTCACAGATTGAAATTTGCTAATACTGTTAATTTTCCTCCTATTTGGATAATGCAGGTACACTTTGTAAACTAAATGACTTACCTCACTAAATGATTTTATTACCAAAATAGTTAAATAATGTTTGATCTAGCTTGAATTAGCGAAAATTTTAACTGACCTCGGAGCAATTAAGAGTGCCTTGGAGGTATATGTTCGTCTAGAAATGTGGGAAGAGGTTATTATGTGCTATCACGCGATTGGTCAGCGAGATAAGGTAGGGATCAAACTATTGTTTATTTGCAATATCAAATTAGTGTTATGAAATACTCAGTAGCATGTGCATGTAATATCAATTAGTAGGTCCATTATGTCTACAGTATTTACATTCTACGTATTTTGAAGTACTGTAAAACATCTAAGATCATATTCGTTTAAGTCTATTAGCATTGATAATGTAATTAGTAAGCTGTAAATGTATTAAACGCTGTAAATTATTCTTCCATAAAGGCAGAGCAGCTTACGAGAGAACGTCTTAAAATCCAAGAAACACCGACCTTGTGGTGCTTATTAGGGGATATTCGAAAGGTAGTTAAAAGTCTGTCCTCGCATTAAAAGTAGAAGTAATACCGAAAGAGTAATAATCTCTATACTAAAACTGTTTTGTGTAGGAAGCTGAGTTTTATGAACGGGCTTGGAAAGTTTCAAAGCATCGCAATGCCAGATCTCAGCGTTCTCTTGGATTTCTCTATTTGTATGCCGAAAAGGTAAATATCAATATCCGATACAATACACAATTTTAGAACTACAGCAACTTCCAATATTTAATCATCTCTTTTTAATGTGATCAGTATGAAGAATGCATTGCATGTTTTAAGGAAACGCTAAAAGTTAACTCCATGCAGGTTAGTAAAGAGTGACTTAAACCTGAATGTTACCTAAAATATTTTTATGAATTATTTGGACAAATCAAATGAAAAGTAAACGTATACAAATTATTGGAAATAATGTATTGGTCTTCAGGAACACGTCTGGTTCTCCTTGGGATGTGCTGCAATGAAAACAGAAGATTACCACCTTTCTGCTGAGGCTTATCGACAATGTGTTCGATTGGATTCAGATGTAAATAGATTGCTAAAGCCCTTACTAATTTACTGTATGTAGCAAAACTTTGTCTTAACTAATTAAATCTTTCGATGGATGCCAGAAAGCTGAAGCTTGGTCCAATTTATCGACAGCTTACATCAAATCGAAGCAAAAGTAATCATTAGATAGCGATATCCTTGCGGACATGTTGAAATGATTTTTGACTATTTCATTAATATCACAATTTTCAGGCATCGCGCATACCGAACTCTTCAAGAAGCGCTAAAGTGTAGCTTTGAGAACTGGAGAATTTGGGAAAATTACTTGTTTGTATGCGTAGATATTGGCCAGTTTGAAGACGCAATTACAACTATTCACCGTCTTATGGATCTAAAAGAGAAATATATAGATGCTGAAATTCTTGATATTCTTGTTGAAGCTGTCATAACTGGAAAGGCTGATTCGCAAGGTGAATCTGGTAAGATGATAGCTTAATCGTAAGTTTCAGTCAGTATCGAATCGAACTGTACGTTTTACTGTATTTTCTTTTTTTATGTCTCCATTGCAGCAGCGAAACAAAAACCCATATTGTTAAAACTGTTTGGCCGTGTTACTTCAAAGGTGCTGCAAAGAAATTCTATGAATTTAGCTTTCTTATCTAGTGAATGCGTAATAGTAGCCCTTCCCAGTCACTATTATCTTGCTTGTTCGTAATTCGTGTAAGTGTTTTAGTGACGAAAATATTCTTCGTTACAGATAACGAACAACGCAGCGGTGTGGTATAGTTATTCCAAACTCTATATGCAATCTGATTTGAAAGAAGATTCTGATAAGGTTTTTACGTATCTGAAAGATAAGTTTGCTAACGTAATAATGCAAATAATGACTATTCTATGATGTGATCTATGTTGCAGCGAATTTCATTACTTCAGAAATCTGTACGTGTTGCTAGCCAAAAACCTAAATGGGAAAGTAATTTGGAAGATATAAAATTAATTGCCTCGTATGCGAAGATGTTATCGGAAGGTTCATTAACTAAAATACATCTAAGTAATTTTTCTCATATTGCTAGTAAAGATCTGCTTGTTAAGATGTGTTACAAGCAGTAGAAGCACCCTTCGTTTCAGGATACGAATTCATTTTAACTTGTAAAGACCTACCCTATATATATATCTATCATAATTGATAAACCCAATGAATTCCATTTCATCTTACGTAGGCGCTTTAAGCATTGGAATGGACAAACGTGATGTGTCAGAATTAGTTCAGATATTATCATCGACAATATTATCCTTAAATAGTATAGTGAATAAAATTAAGGTATGATCGGAGTACTATTTCTTACAATTTGACAAATTTTAGTAGTGCGTGTTAAAACTTTTTTTTCCGTTACAGCATCAAATTTCATATGTCAATACGGAGGTTGACAGCCAATTGGGGACAATTTGCTCAAATTTGGAGGAAAATATAAATAGTCTCAATAATTCTATCCAGACTATTCGTTCATGATGTGTACAACGAACTCATCGTATTAATGTATTTCATGGATATTTACGTTATTCTTTACAAATATAGCCAAAGCAATATTTTTATTGAAAATTTCAGTAATTTTGTTTTGAACTTTTGAAATCGGAGAGAATAAAGTCTTCTTGAGATTAATATGTTGCTTCCTATATGGTAGTTTGATTGATTTTCCTGTAGATATTTCCACTGAAATTAGATTACAGATAGAGGGGTAGGCTGTTAATAGGCTATCCTCAAACGTCTGCCATCACTTTATTCCGTATGATCCAGTCTAAAATTACTTTTCGTGTGGTATATACTTATGATGCATAACTTTGAGCTATAGACAAGTTTTCTTTAATGTACAATAGCAAAATATGTACTCAGACCTTGGAATCGCATCGTTTTAACGGGGCAATTTTGAAGTAAAGAGACTTTAACAGCAAAACTTATTCCCTAATTATAATAGACTAGTAAATTACTCGTCTCAATGAACGAAGAGATAATCTATATAAAGCAATAAATTAAAAGAAAATAAACAGATAGACTATCTTAGACAGGTTTATTTTGAGTTTACGTTTATAAGCAATTTAAGTGTAAATTTTGGGCCTGTACAGGTGTTGCAGCTAATCTGCTATCGATAATTCTTTAACATAGAAAAAGACAGCTAGGACGGAGAATTTATATGTACTGTATATATAATATTTAGTACTCTTTGTTTGCTGTTGATGAGTTATCATGGTTTAGAAGCTATTATACGTATACTTTAATAAGATACTCTTTTCGACTGCAATTATAATCACCTTTAATTGATATTTGATATCTACAATAGTTTACAACATTGCAAGTATTCATCAAAATACTGGCAGTGAATTTTTTATTTACATCTTGTACTTTCTTACCTTGCTTGTAATACCATTATTTTAGGTAGGGCGGTATCAAGCTAGTAAAAATAAACATTGACTTTTGAGTCAGAAATTAAAGACGTAAAAGTCTGTTGTTTTGTAGATTATCGTTAGGCTACGGTATCTTTTCTAGTCCTCTCAATTCGCTAAATCTTATTAAAAGATGTATTACCGAATCAATATAAATTGGACGAAAGAATTTCTAATTTATCCTCTACTTAAAATTGTTCCATATCATGTAATGGCTGTAATTTCTATCTTTATATATCTGCAACTGAACGATAAGTACTTTACAAAGCCTAAGCTAATTAGACACAAGAAAAGACAAAAATTTCAGAAAAGTAAACGATTCCGAAGACGAAAGGTAGTGTTTAGTATTGAATGTTTTGCCTTATATTCATAATTACTTCAAAGTAAACGTTTTACAAATCTGATATTTCTTATTCAGTTAGCTCAGCAATCGATTAAATCACTTAAAATATTAATAGTAACTCTATGAAATAAAAATTCCTTTACTCTATGAAATCTTTATTCAAGATGAAATGATGTTGTAGCATCAATCTAGAACAGTCTATGTGTTAATTATAATCGATGAAATGATAGCTATAGAGTATGGGATCTAATACTGTAGTCGAATTTTTTGCTCCCTTATATTAAAATCTGTAGGATCAATTGGTCAACGTAATGTTGTGTCGGCTGATCATGTCATGATTGTTCTGTTATTAAGGCTAGGATTGATCATCAAGCATTGCCTTCGCCTTCTCCGTCATACGAAGGGCAGCAGTATCATATGGGTGATCTTGGCAAATGCGAGTACCAAATTATAGACTTAAGGTTAATCTTTCGATTCTTTCTAGTAAGATTTTATGAAATGGTGTTTGATTATTAGAATTATTTGATGATGGTTTAAAGGTGATGAAAGATTGATAACTAGCAGAGTTACTCCTAAAATTAAACATTTAAAGCTATTGCAGTCAAATTCTAATTTTGGATTGCATTATAGTCGACTAGATTTAGCAAACTATTCAATTAATTTAATTCCCAAAGCAATAAAAGGAGTGGAATATGTAAGTGGAGCTACTATCAGTATACTCTTATTTACGTATGTAATTCAAGAAATGAAGGTAATAACTTCAGCTTCTTTCGTTAAAATGATCGTAAGGATGAAATTAATTTAGCGGATAATAAACTGCAAGAAATATCTGATGAAATCACTCAATTAATAGCTTTAAAGTATTTTTATATATCAGGAAATGGCTTGACTTCTTTGCCGGTAAAACAATTTGATTAGTTCATTCCTCCTTTTGTCTTTAGCTCTCTACTACAAGACTTGAAATTTTGTAAAGTGTTGATCTATATATTTGATTTTATTACTGTCCATACAGACTGATATAGGATATCTATCTAATCTTGTCTGTTTGGATGTTCAGTTTAATGCGATATCGGCTTTGCCAGGTAAGCGATGTTTTAGGCTACTGATGAATTTAAAAAGCAGCTTGTGAACACGCTGAATGTAGGATTTTTATATACTGATATTCTTTACTCACGATCTTGCAACATCCTTTAGATTCTATCACTTTACTCAGCGATTTGGAAACTTTTCAGTGTCATCATAACAAGCTAATAGTTTTACCTGTAGCAATTGGAGCGTTGCATTCTCTTACTTTGTTAGATTTGAGGTATTGAAAGTGAAATATCCTAAGAGCTAGACAAAATATCTTATTAAATTTCTACATTTTGACTTTCAGTATCGAATGATAGAGAGGGAATTTAGCATAGCTAAATAACTAAATAGCTTGCTTATAACCTTTTAATAGTTGATATTTTAATTATTTTACTTCTTACCAAAGCTACAATCATTTGGAAGAACTACCTCAAAGCATAGGAGAACTTTATAATTTAAAGGTAGCTTTAGAATTTAATAAATACTTTTACTCCTTAAAATGGAATATTCAATCAACTAGTATAGATCTGTCTCTACATTATTTCTAAACTATTCCCAGCAATTATACTTGGATCATAATCAGTTACGTTGGCTACCCGTTGAAATTGGTAACTTATTGAATTTGCAAGAGTTTTACGTATCATCATGTTTCCTAAAACGATTACCGAATTCCATATGCAAGCTAACCAACTTGAAAGATTTGATTTTGGACGATAACAGGTGGTTTTCATCTTTCTAAGATATTAAACATTATATTATCAACAGCGCTGGTTCCAGAGCTACTATAAATTCAATTTAATGCTAGGAACCATTTTTACGTGATACTATCATAATTCAATACACTAATTACAAAGATTGGCAAATTGTTCCTAAAGCTCATGAATTATTATCGTCTTCAATAACTTTGCTAGCATATTATTTCCCATTGAACAGCTTTAGTTGTAAACTTTATTTGTTATAACGCCAGTACATCTCCAGACGTTTCGATAGAATTTCATCATGACGAGATCCATATCTACTGTTTCATCAGCTTCTACTCCAATTTAAAGCCATAGTAAATGAAAATAAAGTACCTTATAACCCCAAGAGCACGCTATTAAATATTCTGAATGTGATCTTGGAGGTTTTTAGATACACGATATTATCTAATCCAATATAACGCAAAATTTATTACAGGCTAGTTGAGTTACCACCTAGAATTGGAGATTTAACAAATTTAGTTACTTTATATCTTCGACGCAATCGGTTGAAAGGGTTTCCGCTCTCATTGGAATTATTGCCGCATTATGTTAACCTACAAGGCAAGATAGGATCTATGTTAGATGAATGAGTAATTTGTTGTTAATACTGTAGAATCGACTACTGTGTTTTAATCATGATAATTTTATTTTAGTCAGCGGAAATCCTTTACTAAGGCGCCATGACGAGCAACAAATCAAGAAATTAAAAGTTTCCTACATAATGAATGTGTCTCCGCTGTTTGACATTGCAGCTACTTACGTCAAGAAGAATTTAAAACTAGATGTAAATGTTGTTCTATCTCCAAAATTGCAAGGTAAATTCTAGCTACTCTTTGGCATGATGAGTAGACTTACATTTCATCATACGTACAATTTTCTACTAATCTTATATTATTTTACGCAGACATCATTACTAACTGCTCCTATTGCCATCGTTGTCAACGACCATTATTTAAGAATTATCAAAGTGATTACAAGATTTATTATCATCTTGGAATTGGATATGGCTTGATCCTATATTGGCAGTACTGTTATTCATGTTGTCTGCGCTAAATTTGTTTGTAGATTATAGACTTATGGAAATGGAAGTTTGCGATGCATTTTGCCAAATGTTGTCACTTTTAAATAAGACAGCTTTACTTGCTGTAGCCTATAGGTTGTAAAAATTACAGACTTTTTACTACATTGTATATCTTTTGCAAGAAGATAACTTTCTGAATTTCATTTCTTTACGATCATTAATACATCACATAGCTTCTTTAGTTGCTAGGTTTATAAATCGGTTAAAATCGCTGCGTTATTAAACACCTGCAAGATATACCGCACAATCTGTTTTGAAAAGGAAAAGAAAAATGTAATGATTGTACTAATGGATCATCATTTAAGGCTAATAAAGTAATAGTAATTTAATTAGTTATTGTCTATGCTACTTCCTCCTAAAATATCAAGGTTTTGGATATGGATAGGAAAAATTGGTCAACTCAGACGAGCATGTGTCGCTATTTATGATGAGTAAAATGGTGATACGATTGCATTGTATATTTTACTATAGTATATGTTACTTCTTCCTAACATGTTAAGGTTTTGGATATGGATAAGAAAAAACTCAATACGGACGGGCATATATCGTTGTTGAGATGAATAAAATGGTGGTATCAGAATAACGAGACTATTTACAAATATGAAAAATCGCTTAATATAAATTTGCCGGTTTTCAGATCATAATCATTCCCGTATAATCAAAATATTGCGCATGGGACTTATATACGAGTGCATAGTCAACTGTTAAAGAATGAACAGGCTAATTTTCTACGCGTAAGAAATCTTTTCAAATTAGAGAGTTACTTTTTGACCCCCAATCATCCTGATGTTGCTGAATTATGTAACAATTATACACTTTGAGTACAAACGATCATGAAAAACCTATTTCTATGCATGAGAATGCACTCAGTATTTGTTAATCAGTCTTTAATCACAATCATTCTGATATTGCTCAACCATGAAACAACATAGAAATTAAGCATTCTCGATAGAATAGTTTAAATAAGCTATTTCGATGCATGGAAAATTACTCAAATTGAACTATCAATTCTTGTGGCAGTCACCGCTATGCCGCTTAATCATAAAACAACATTGGAATTGTTCACTATGACCTGAGTAAATATGGAGAAGCTGTTTCCAGGTATAAGAGTTCACTCAATATCAATTATAAATAATTATCAATGCATGGTCATGATTATCCCTGTATTGCCTATTTATATAGCAGTATAGAAGTTGCGTATGATAAGAATAGCAGGTATCAAGAATTTATTTCTATGTATTAGAAAGCACTCAAAATTCTAGTGTCAATTTTCGATTGCGATCATCCCGATATTACTAGTTCATATGACAAGGTGTGTTTATGTAGATCATGATATATATATGAAGAAGTTAATTTAATATATAAGAAGCCGCTCAAAATTCAAATATCAGTCTTTAATCCCAATCATTCTGATGCTGCTCAATTATATAATAATCTAGGAACCGTATATTCCGAGCAGCTAAAGCATGAAGCGGTCATTACTCCGTAGGAAAAAACACTCAGAACTAATCGTTTAGTCCGTGATCATAATCATCCCTGTATTACCCGATTATGTAAAAACATGGGAAGTACCTAAAGGCAATAGGGCAAGCATGAAGAGATCATTTTATGCTTAAGAAGTCACTAAAACTTTGATTATCAGTTCTAGACCATAACCATTCTGATGTTACTAACGCATGGAATAACATTAGTCTTAATTATAATGACCAGGGTAAGCTTAAAGAAGTAATTAATACGAATATGAATACAAAGTCACTCGAAATCCACAATTACCCCCAAAATGCTGGATAATACGTGTATAGTAATATGGGAATATTTATCAAGACCAGAAGAAACAGGAAAAGGTTATTGCCATGTATGAGAAATTACTCGAATTCTATTTTCGGTCCTTAGCGACGATCGTAATGATTTGCTGCAACATACGCGTATTGTAATCTGGACAAGTATGCAAAGGCTATTCCTATACTTTGGAAATCACTCCAAATTCGATTTTCAGTTCTTGATTATCATTATTCTGATGTTGCTAAATCATGTAACAACTTAGGCATCATTTATTTTGATTAATGCAAGCACGAAGAAGCTGCTTTTATGCCATATAAGTCGCTTTAGCTTAAATTGCTATTCTTATATCAGAATCATTCTGATATTGAGATGGCCAAAAGCAATTTGGCCCATTGCAAGCTTGTTAATCCATGGATTTCTAAAGCTTACAGAAAAACTTTTTTAGCCCATAATTAATCATTGATTTATGTGGCCATAACAACTTCAAATTGAAACATAGCACTTTCCAATTAGGTTTATAATAATAAAGAAAATAAAGCTAGTAAAATTTACTTGAAATCAAAGCCGGTATTGTGAGGGCAACAAATTAAATACAGCGAGTTAAATAACATAATTTGTTGCACAGATAGTATAAGGTATATTGTAGGAATATTATCAGTTTGTTAAGGTTAACGTAAGTTATTTCCTAATAGGTCACCTTTATTATTACATGGAAATGTTCAATTTTTGCGGCGTTAAGAAATCTTTATAACCATCATTAAGTATAATTAATAAACTGTAAATCCCGCTAGCCTATCTGAGAACCATTCGAAACACGTAAATGTGTAACTAACTTATACACTTTGAGTTATTTTGCAGTTACATTTGCTATGGGTCGGTTCTGCTTAGCTCCATTCGTAGGTGATGATGATTCTGAGAATAGTTAGTTCTAAGTGCAGCAGTCAGTCGTGACCAATGTTAGATATAGTATAATTTCAAGGCCAGCCGATTATGCTACATATGCTTATTTTAATGAAGTAATTAAGACGATTGTAATTGACTATTTGTATATACAATGAATAGCAATGTCAATTGTACGAAAATTGTTTGTATAAGAGTGTGCATACAATTAAAATATCGAAAACAAATATTATGCTTACTTGAAGTATGCGGAAGTGAGATTTCGCGGAAAATAATGTGTCAATACTGTTAATTAATGTACACACTAGAGTGCCCAAGTTGCAGTAAATCACTACCTGATGTAATACAATTATTAATAATTTACAGCAGAAGAGAGCCGTAATTAGACATGAAGTATTACTAGTGGGATATTCTACTACTTAATGAAGCTATTACCAGTTAACGTGTTCAATCTAATTATATTAAAGCGATGTGATCAAGATAGCATCTTGAAGATATTTATTAGATATATGGTCGTCATGTAGTTATAACGTTATATTTTGCCATAAAAGATTGTTACATTTAAACTATTGGAATATGTTCATATACTCGTTTTTACGTACCCTTAGCACTGTTTAATAGTCTCAATTGCACTCAGAACTAACGCTAAATTCCTTTTTGGCTTTAATCATGATCATCTTAAGATTTTAATGTCATATGTTAATTAATTAATGAATTCTATCATAATGAATAAGTTGTTTTTAAATCGAAGTAATGAGGGCAGTTGCAAAACCATAGCAACAATGACATAGATGATTCCAACAATACTAATTTGACAAATAAAGATCAATACTTACTTAATTATGGCGATTTCTGTATTAATTTCAAGGTCCTCCTACTGATTTTGTAAGGAAAATCTCCAATTATCCTTTAAGGTCAAGAAGCATGCCATTAATAAAGACGCGAATATCTAAAAGGTGCAGTTTTGCTCTCTTAGAGTCCGTATTTCAGAATATTCTATTTACAAGACGATAATAGAAGATAGTTGACCCCATATCTTCTCCAAATATGGCTACTAGATATAGCGAATTAAAAATTTTTCAGAAAATTCAACTCCTATATGAAGAAGGCGAGAAGAAGTATATAGCGCAGGATGACCTAAATGCAATCTCAAATTACGAGCAAGCTCTAGATCAAATTCAGTCGTTGCCAAAAAAGGATACTGATCTAGAACTCCAGTATAAGATTAATCTTCGGATTACTGATATTTATATTCGGCATGGCGAATGGAGTCAAGCTACTAAATTTAGGCAACATGCTCTATATATGGCTAATAGAATGAAAAATCAGGTCTACATTGCCGATTGCATAGACAGGCAAGGAGACATTAAAAGAATGACTGGCGACGAAAGTGGAGCCTTATCTGATTTTCGGATATCACTGGATATGAAGTTAAAATCACTTGATGGCGACAATTTAAGCATTGGTGATACCTATCATAAAATAGGACGTGCCTACTTTAGTCAAAAAGAATATAATAGGGCACTTTTAATGTATCAAAAAGCACTTGATATTCGAATCAGAAAGCTTGGTGATGATGATCTAATTGTAGCTCAATCCTATCATAATATAGGACTTGCCTATAGCAACCTAGGCATGCTTGAGATGCTATCAATATGAATAAAAAATCACTTGAAATAAATCTTGCCAAGCTCGATAATGATCATTATCACGTTACTACTTCTTACGATTTCATGGGAAATTTATATAAGAAGAAAGGGGCGTATAAAGAAGCTCTTGCAGTGTTTAGAAAAAGTCTTGAAATTAGATTGCAACGGCTTGGTAGTAATGATGTTAGTGTTGCATCATCGTATCGAAATATAGGGCTTCTGCATCGTAGCGCTAAGCAAAATAATCAGGCTATACGGATGCTTGAAAAAGCAATCGAAATTTTAACTTTTAATTATGGAGAAAATCACCGAAACATTGCCAATATCTATAATGAAGTAGCTACATGCTATAGTCATTTGCATCAGAAAGATGTAGCCGCGAATATAAGACGAAAGGCTGATAGCATTCGTAAAATTTTAAGTCATTCGCCACAGAAGAACAGTCACCGAGTATTTCAACCACTTAGCCATGTTTCCCGACAATCAGAAGGTAAATTTCTATGCATGCGATTAGTACAACTATATTTATAATTAATTTCTGCTTAGTACTGTATATGTCATCCACTTTTTTTCTTTCTATTGCAAAATATGCACTTAATTTCTAAAACAGAAGATGATTTTAGCTGCTGTTTCATCTTAAATAGTCGTGTCGTACTAAAGGCAACGGAAATCTTGACCATTAGTTCTTAATTAGTTATGATAATGTGCACGTATGCTAACAGGTAGTTTATATCTAATTCATTAAAATAAGCAGTCTCTCTTGTACTATTCTTGACATCGTTTAAATCACATTTATTTCGTTTGAATCACTCTGAATGTAGGTCATGAAAATGGCCAATCAGTCTTTCAGCAAATTGAGACTAGAAGGGATAGAAAGAGTAGCGATCATGGTAAATATAAGAAACCTTAGTCATTCCCTGGATATCACTGCACATTCGTAACCTTTGCTCCACTAATAAATTTTTATTTTTCTATCTGTTGTATATCATATTTGAATGATATTTGGATAGGTACTGGTATACAAAGCAAAAATTACTTAAAAGCGTATAATAGAGCAATAAAGCAAGGAAAGCGTCGCAATAATTTGATTCGTGCTATGTTTGTTGGGCCTCGTAATGTCGGTAAATCATCGATTATGAGAGTTTTCACTCAACAAAGGCTAAGCGGTCATGACTCACCGACACAAGTTGCTGAATGGTCGGAAAGAATGATCAAAATCAATGCTTATGACATTTATGATGGGAAATTTTGTGCTATGAGTGAAATATTAGAAAAAAATGTGATCGCGTCTATAGAAGAATCGCCTCAAGTTACCAAAGAGCTTGATGACAATCCAAACTTCAAGAAGCAGATTATCGAAACTCCCATATTAAGTAAAGATAATGCGCAAGCTGCAACAAACAAATCATCATTAAATAATCTATGCCTCGACTCTTC